CTCAAACTGAGGCTGATCCCGTCCTCCTGCTCCGAAGGGCCGGCTAAATAGGGGGGAGGGGGGCATTTTTGCAAGTCAAGAGAGTTCAGCTGGACGGTATAAGAAACCTTTTGAGGATAAGGCCAGGACAATGAAAGCAATTACCTAGAGAGCCAAGCAGTCATTCTCTGGCTGCAAATCTTCAACCGAGGACTGGACAGCTGTCAGTTGGGAACGGAGGGGCTCCGAACAAAGCAGGGAGCGCCGGGTTGAAGGGGGCCTGGCTTGGCTCCAAGACCACAATTCCGCCTGGTTGTAAGATCCTAAGCAGAGCCCTGGCGAAGTCTAGGCGGGGGCGACTTTGTCAGCCAGATATGCTCAGCCCCTCCCTCCCTCCCCCCCTTCTTTTCTTATTTTTTTAATGTCATTTCCATCACACGTCTGCAGCAGTGTTCGGCGTTGAGGGGTGGGTTTTTTTTTTTTTTGAAAGGCCTTTGCATAAATTTATACCGAGCAGGAAAGGAGGCAGAGAGAAAATAATCCGAGACAGAGAAGCTGAGGCTTTGGATGCTTCTTTGAGCTTACAGTTCATTCGGGGAAGGGGAACACAAAAGATAAGGCAGGCGCTAGTTTGGAAATGGGAGGTTGGTGGGGGGGGGGCGGTAGGGAAGAAAGGAAGAGTAGGGAGAGAGAAAGGAAAGGAAATGGAGAAGAGGATGGGAGGAAGGAAGGAAGGAGGGAGGGAGAGAGAGGAAAGAAAGGAAAGGGAGAGAAGGAGGGGAGGGAGGGAGAAAGGAGAGGGAGAGAGAGAGGAAAGGAAGGAAAAGGGAGGGAGGGAGGGAGGAAACAGGAAAGGGGAAGGAAGGAAGGATGGGAGGAAGGGAGGGAGGGAGGGGAGAAAGGAAAGGGAGAGAAGGAGGGAGGAAGGAAGGAAGGGAGGGAGAGAGAGGAAAGAAGGGAGGGAGGGAGGGAGGAAACAGGAAAGGAGAAGGAAGGAAGGAGGGAGGAAGGAAGGAGGGAGGGAGGGAGAGAGGAAAGGAAAGGGAGAGAAGGAGGGGAGGAAGGAAGGAAAGGAGAAAGAGAGGAAAGAAGAAGGAAAAGGGAGGGAGGGAGGAAACAGGAAAGGGGAAGGATGGGAGGAAGGAAGGAGGGAGGGAGGGAGAGAGAGGAAAGGAAAGGGAGAGAGGAAGAAAGGAGAGGGAGAAAGGAAAGAAGGAGGGAAAAGGGAGGGAGTAAACAGGAAAGGGGAAGGAAGGGAAGGAAGGAAGGATGGGAGGAAGGAAGGAGGGAGGGGGAGAAAGGAAAGGAAAGGGAGAGAAGGAGGGGAGGAGGAAGGAAGGAGGGAAGGGGGAGAGAGAGGAAAGAAGGAGGGAGGGAGGGAGGAAACAGGAAAGGAGAAGGAAGGAAAGGAAGGAAGGATGGGAGGAAGGGAGGGGAGAAAGGAAAGGGAGAGAAGGAGGGGAGGAAGGAAGGAAGGGAGGGAGAGAGAGGAAAGAAGGGAGGGAGGGAGGGAGGAAACAGGAAAGGGGAAGGAAGGAAAGGAAGGAAGGATGGGAGGAAGGGAGGAGGGAGAGAGGGGGAGAAAGGAAAGGAAAGGGAGAGAAGGAGGGGAGGAAGGAAGGAAGGGAGAGAGAGAGGAAAGAAGGAAGGAAAGGGAGGGAGGGAGGAAACAGGAAAGGGGAAGGATGGGAGGAAGGAAGGAGGGAGGGAGGGGGAGAAAGGAAAGAAAGGAGAGAAGGAGGGGAGGAAGGAAGGAAGGAGAGGGAGAGAGAGAGAAAGAAGGAAGGAAAAGGGAGGGAGGGAGGAAACAGGAAAGGGAAGGAAGAAAAGGAAGGAAGGAAGGAGGGAGAGAGAGGAAAGGAAAGGGAGAGAAGGAGGAGGGGAGGAAGGAAGGAAGGAGAGGGAGAGAGAGAAGAAAGAAGGAAGGAAAAGGGCCCATCTAGGAAAGCAACTTGTTGGGCGGTGATTGGGCCCCCGTCTGCTTCTCTCCCTCCCTCCCTCCCTCTTGCTGCCAAGCTGGTAGCTGCTGTCGATTCAGACTGGGGCACCCCCAGTCGTCTCCCACCCATCCAGGCAGAACCTCCAGCATATGGCGCTGTCTGTCACTGGCTGGCACCCCTCTTTATTTCTCCCACCCACCCACCCACTCAGCCAGCATTTTCTCCAACTGATCCAGGATCTTGACAGGCAGACATGGGGTTCCATTTATCTTCCTTACCTGGCTGATTTGCAAAGGAGCCAACCGAGAGGAGAAACCTGAAGGCAAACGCTCAGAAATGGAAACCAAGGTTGTAGTTGTGCAACCTATTTAACTCGCTCAAATTAAAAGCAGATGCAGGCCTTCCCCTTGCTCATTTTTATTATTTTGGGATTAGACCAGGGTGAAATGCTCCCGGTTCGGACTGGATCACCCGATCCGGTAGCGATGGAGGCGGGTGGTTCGGAGAACCAGTAGCAAAAATCCCTGCCCCCCCCCCATGCCCAGCTGAGCCACACAATCATCAGAGGCTTTTTTTTTTTTTTTTTTTACTTTTAAAAGCATTTTTTCTACAACCTCTTCGGCCGAAAAAATCCTTTTAAAAGTAAAAAAAAAAAAAAAGCCTTTGATGATCGTGCAGCTCAGCTGGGATCGTCAAAGGCTTTTAAAAGAAAAAAAACCTTTTTTTCTTTTAAAAGCCTCTGACGATCCCAGCTGAGTTGCCTGATCGTCAGAGGCTTTTTTTTCTTTTAAATGCCTCTGACGATCGAAGCTGAGTTGCCTGATCGTCAGAGGCTTTTTTTTCTTTTAAATGCCTCTGACGATCCAAGCTGAGTTGCCTGATCGTCAGAGGCTTTTTTTTCTTTTAAAAACCTCTGACAATCCAAGCTGAGTTGCCTGATCGGCAGAGGCTTTTTTTCTTTTAAATGCCTCTGACGACGATCCAAGCTGAGTTGCCTGATCGTCAGAGGCTTTTTTTTTCTTTTAAATGCCTCTGACGATCCAAGCTGAGTTGCCTGATCGTCAGAAGCTTTTTTTTCTTTTAAAAACCTCTGACAATCCAAGCTGAGTTGCCTGATCGGCAGAGGCATTTAAAGAAAAAAAGCCTCTGCCGATCAAGCAACTCAGCTGGGATCTGAGACCCTTTGAAAGCATTTTTTTACAACCTCTTTGCTGAAGAGGTTGTAGAAAAAAATGGTTTTAAAAGAAAAAAAAAATTGGCCACGCCCACCCAGTCACATTACCACCAAGCCACGCCCACAGAACCGGTAGTAACAAATTTTAGATTTCACCAGGATTACACTTGTACAGGTAGTCCTTGACTTAAAACCACAATTGAGCCTAAAATTTATGTTTTTCTAAGTGAGACATTTATTAAGGGAGTTTTGCCCCATTTTAACGACCTTTTTTGCCATAGTTGTTAGGTGAATCATGGCAGTTCTTAAATTAGTCACACGGTTCTTAAGTGAATCTGGCTTCCCCGTTGACTTTTGGTTATCAGAAGGTCGCAAAACGGATCACATGACACACACACAAACACCCCGGGGACGCTACGACCGTCATAAATATGAACCAACTATCAAGCATCTGAATTTTGATCACGTGACGAGGATGCTGCAAATGGTTGTAAGTGTGAAAAATGGTCGTAAATCCCTTTTTTAAGTACCTTGTAACTTTGAATGTTCACTAAACGAATTGTTGTAATCGAGGATTACCTGTATTCGTTTGTTTATTGCGGTAAACTGTGCCCATTGGAATAGCTTACGGTTCTTTGTGCTGCACGAACGCCGAAAAGGGGCTGAAACTTGGAAAGGTGTGCTGTATACAGGTAATCCTCGATTTACGACAGTTCATTTTGTGAACGTGCGAAGTCCAGAATCACATGATCCCAGGACACTGCAACCGTCCTAAATCAGTTGCCAAGCATCCGAATTTTGATCATGTGACCAAGTGGAGATGCTGCAACGGTCGTGAAGTGTGAAAAACATAAGTAATTTTTTTTCAGTGCCGTTGTAACTTCAAATGGTAGAATACAGAATAACAGAGTTGGAAGGGGCCTTGAGGTCATCTAGTCCAGCCCACATCCAAGCAGGAGACCCTACACCATTTCTGACAGATGGCAGTCCAGTCTCTTCTTGAAAGCCTCCAGTGAGAAGCTCCCACAACTTCTGAAGGCAACTTCTGTTCCATCGGTTGATTGTTCTCACAGTCAGAAAAAAATTCTCCTTATTTCTAGGTTGAATCTCTCCTTGGTCAGTTCCCATCCATTATTCCTTGTCTGGCCTTTGGGTGCTTTGGAAAATAGCTTGACCCCCTTCCTCCTCTCTGGGTCAGCCCCTCAAATATTGGAAGATTGCTGTCATGTCACCCCTGGTACTTCTCTTCACTGGACTAGCCAAACAGTCGTTAAAGGAATGGTTGTAAGCCAAGGACTATTGCAAAAATATGTGTTGAATTGTTATTACATTTGCACATCATCTGAAATAATCTCTTGGAACTTGATTGTCATCTTCTACCTGTTAAAATTGTAGAGCGATGCGTAATCCTTCATGATTTTCCCCCCCTTTTCTTTTAAATTGAAAATTTTAAACCTGTTTTTAAATTATTGGGATGTTTTAAATTTGTCTCGGGCTAAATTGTTTAATCTGGTTTTTTTTTTGCTTTTAAATTTTAGTATTTATGTATTTTATTTTTGTGCCTGTTCACCGTCCTTCGGGAGTAGGGCGGTATATAAATCTAGTAAAAGAAAGAAAGAAAGATGATGGGACAACAGTTCCCATCATCCTCAGCCTGGATAGTCTTTGGGGCTGCAGTTCATTTAGATCCATTTTTCTCAGTCTATTGGAACTTTAAGATGTATGGACTTCAACTCCCAGAATTGCTGGCTGGGGAATTCTGGGAGTTGAAGTCTATATGTCTTTAAAGTTTCAGAAGTTCAGAAATACTAATCTAGAGGAAAAGACCTCTGAATAAACTCAGGATTTGACAAAGGAATCCTGCCCCTTTTTGTTCTATCTGACCCTTGCGCTTATTTCGCACCCAGGTCCGCAAGTACCTGCTGCTGTTGGACAGCCGCAAGGAACACGTCAAATTTTGGCGCCCCCAAGTGTTGCTGATGGTGCGGAATCCACGGACTTCCCTCCAACTCATCCGTTTCATCAACGACCTCAAGAAGAGCGGCTTGTACGTGCTCGGCCACGTAGAGTTGGCGGATCTGGGTAAGGAGTGGTAGGAGAAAGAGTAAGAGGTCATCAGAGGTCCAGCCAGATGACCCATGAGGTCTCCCTTCAAGATTGGACAGGTATTTTTCAACCTCAGCCATTTTATGAGGTGTGGACTTCAACTCCCAGAATTCCCCAGTCAGCAACTCTGGGAGTTGAAGTCCATATGGCTTAAAGGCTGGCTGGGGAATTCTGGGAGTTGAAGTCCACACCTCATAAAATGGCTGAGGTTGAGAAATACTAGATTGTTGCAAACTAGCAAGGACCATTTCACACAGACAGGATGGAGACGTTGGGACAATTTTCCAAACATAAGCCAGGGGTGAAATGCTCCCGTTCGGACCGGATTGCCCAATCCAATAGCGATGGCAGCGGGTGGTTCGGAGAACCGGTAGCAAAAATCTCTCTCCCCACCATGCCCAGCTGAGCCCCACAATCATCAGAGGCTTTTTTTTTAATTTTAAAAAGCATTTTTTCTACAACCTCTTTGGCCAAAAAAATGCTTTAAAAGTAAAAAAAAAGCCTCTGATGATTGCGCGGCTCAGCTGGGATCGTCAGAGGCTTTTAAAAGCATTTTTTCTACAACCTCTTCAGCCAAAGAGGTTGTAAAAAATGCTTTTAAAAGCCTCTGACGATCCCAGCTGAGTTGCCTGATCGGCAGAGGCTTTTTTTTTTTTCTTTTAAAACATTTTTTCTACAACCTCTTCGGCCGAAAAGGTTGCAAAAAAAAATGCTTTTAAAAGCCTCTGCAATCAGGCAACTCAGCTGGGATCGTCAAAGGCTTTTAAAAGCATTTTTTTTACAACTTGTTCGGCCTGGGGAATTCTGGGAGTTGAAGTCCACACCTCATAAAATGGCTGAGGTTGAGAAATACTAGATTGTTGACACCTAGCAAGGACCATTTCACACGGACAGGATGGAGACGTTGGGACAATTTTCCAAATGTAATCTTACAGGTAGTCCTCCACTTACAACAGTTCGTTTAGTGACCGTTGGGAGTTACAACGGCCCTCAAAAAAGTGAGGGCCTAACCCTCATACCTAACAATCATTGCTGCATTCCTTCTTGTCCCATGATCAAAATTCAGATGCTTGGCAATGGACTCCTATTTATGACGGTGTTTCGGCCTCTCGCCATCCTCTTTTGCAGCTTTCTGATGAGCAAAGTCAATGGGGAAGGCAGATTCGCTTAACAGCCAGGTTAGTAATTTAACAGCTGCAAATGATTCACTTAACAACTGTGGCCAGAAAGGTCGTAAAAGGGGGCAAAACTCACTGAACGAATTTCTCACTTAAACAACGTAGATTTTGGGCTCAATTGCAGTCGTACATCGAGGACTACCTGTACTCCAACACTCTAGACTGCAGATCTCTGGGCCATCACCAGATGGCACCAGACAGACACCAGTCTCTCTGTACTGCCACCTAGTGGTGGCTCCAAATTTTGCAGCCGGGATCCAGCAGTCCATGCACAACCCTTTCAAAGCAAAGAGACTCCAGCTGGCTGGATAGATCCCAGCGTTCCTTCCTTTTGCCGAACTCTCATCCTTTGTACTACAAATTGATTTCTCAGATGCTTTTGTGAAGGCTGCAAAGGGGGCCCCTCCTGGAGCTATTTGGGTTTCCATGGTAACTAATGGATATTTGCCCCCCCCCAAAAAGGGGGAGATGTGGGAGGAGGGTTGCTAATTTCTTTCTTTTCTTTTTTTTTTACCTAGACCAAAACATAGAGAGGAGGGGGGGAAGGGAGGGAGGGAAAGACTCAGATCAAATCTAAGCAAGTGCACGCAAATCGTGCAAGTTGCAGAGAATTGGGGGCGGGGGCACCTTGTTTGGGTCCTAGAAAGGGGGATCAGAAAAAGTTTCAGGGCTTGGGAACAGCCCATGAGAGCTGGCAGAACAAACCGTCTTCTGCTTCTCCTTTGCCCACACGGTAAAGCCATCAATGCCACTTGCGGCAAATGAGAAATCTGGCATTGTGCCACAGGCAGTCCTCGACTTACGACCGTAATTGAGCCCCCGCCCCCAAATTCCTGTTGCTAAACGAGGCAGTTGTCGAGTGATTATTTTGCCCCGTTTTACGACCTTTCTTGCCACCGTTGCTAAGTGAATCGCCGTAGTTGTTAAATCAGTAACATAGTTGTCAAGTGAATTTGGCTTCCCCAGGGGTGAAATGCTCCCGGTTCAGACCAGATCGCCCGATCCGGTAGCTATGGCGGCGAGTGGTTCTGAGAACCGGTAGCAAAAATCCCTGCCCCCCCCCCATGCCCATCTGAGCCGCGCAATCATCAGAGGCTTTTTTTTTTTACTTTTAAAAGCATTTTTTTCTACAACCTCTTCCGACGAAAAAATGCTTTTAAAAGTAAAAAAAAAAAAAGCCTCTGATGATCGCGCGGCTCAGCTGGGATCGACAGAGGCTTTTCAAAGCATTTTTTTCTGCAACCTCTTGGCTGAAGAGGTGGTAAAAAAAATGCTTTGAAAAGTCTCTGACGATCCCAGCTGAGCTGCCTGATCGGCAGAGGCTTTTCAGAGCATTAGAAAAAATGCTTTGAAAAGTTTTTTTAAGAATTTTTTGGCCACACCCACTACCACCAAGCCACGCCCACAGAACCGGTAGTAACAAATTTTACATTTCACCCCCGGGCTTCCCCCATTGATTTTACTTGCCAGAAGATCGCGAAGGGGATCACCCGATCCCGGAACCCTGCAATGGTCAACTTTTTTTCAGTGCCATTGTAACTTTGAGTGGTTACTAAACAAAAAATTGTAAATCGAGGATTACCTGTACACCAGGAGATGCCTTTCAATGAAGGTTGGTGAAACAGAGACCGTGGGAATAATATTTTAGGAGGCTGCTATAAAGATTAGACCTCAAACGATAGCAGAGAAAACGTAAGCTTCTTTTCAGGCAAAGAAGGAATGGATTTACCAGCATCACATACCTGGATCCGGAAAAATAAAAACCAGATTTAACATAGCCTGTAGTATTTGAACCCCTATCCAAAGGGCTGGGGTTTTATTTGTTGGGATAAAATTAGAACTCATTTTGTAAATCCACCCAAAGGCCCAAGCAGTACTTTCTCCCACAACGACCCTGCGATGTAGGAAAGAGCTTCAACCTCAAATTGCCCAGGAAACTTCCATGAGGAAGCTTGAATCCAGATGGCCCTATTCCTAATCCAGCATTGTAACGTCAATTTAAAGAATTTTTGAACTTCGACAAGTATGGACTTCAATTCCCAGAATTCCCCTGCCGGCATACCGGTAGCTTAAAATTACCTAGGTTGGGAAACGCTATTTTAAAGCCAACCAAATTGGCAACTTTCACCAAGTAGAAAATGTCTCGAATAATGGCGTTGTCAGCGTTTCGACGCTGGCATAGAGAGCAGAGAGAGATAAGCTCTGAACTTTTGCCTGCTAAATCCCTTTGAAGTCGGGTTGTCGTGGAAATGAAGGGGGGAGACATTCCTGGGAAATGACGAGACAAGAAGTCTGAAGAATGACTTGGAAGATAGCCAATGAGAAGCAGAGATTTGGGGATCGGAAAGGGAGGGATTGGGGGGCAAAAGGTCAGTCTTGTCCCCATCGAGTCGTGATCCGGTGGCTGTGCTCAATTAAAGAAAAGATTTCCTTAAAGATTGGCAGTTTGGAAATTCATTTATTTTGAGATAGCATCGAAGTCTGACAGGCGTCTTTGTCCTTTTCCTCTGTTGGGCCGGCCCCTGAGACTGACCGTCTCTGCTTGTCCCCAGACTGCCTGCCATCTGATCCCTTGCCGGACCAGTCGGACTCCTGGCTGCAGCTGGTGGACCGGTTGAATATCAAAGCCTTCGTCAACCTGACGCTCGCCAGTTCAGTGCGGCACGGCACACAGCAGCTGCTCTTCATCTCGGGACTGGGTAGGTAACCTTGGATTTCTGGGTGGTCACCTTTCCTCCAGCTTCAACTTTTTTAAAAAAGACCACCTCTAAATTTCTGTTTAATAAGCTAAATCTATTCTGTAAGGGCAGATTTTAACAGAATGACTTTGTTGGGAGGGACCTTGGAGGTCTTCTAGTCCAAACCCCTTCTCCAAGACCCTGTACCATGTCAGACAAATGAGTATCCAATCTCTTCTTTAAAAAACCTCCAGTGTGGTTTTTACACCCACAACTTCTGGAGGCAAGCAGTTCCACTGGTTAATCGTTCTCTGTGTCGGGATATTTCTCCTTAGTTCCAGGTTGCTTTTCTCCTTGATTAGTTTCCATCCGTTGCTTCTCGTCCTGCCTTCAGGGGCTTTGGAGAATAGGTTGACCCCTATTTTCAGAGAGTTGAGCTTTTGTCCCGTCAGACATGGAAACCTTCTGAAATTTTGGGAAATCATTTGCCTCCCAAACGAAATAGGCACACAGGTGGGATTCAGCCGGTTTGGGCAAATCGGTAGTTAAATTGCTGGCTGGCCCCGCCCCTTCCTACCCCACTCCTTCCAGGAGTTCTCATGCGCCCCATTTTGGCTCTCGTGTAAGTGGAGGGGGGCCTCCTAGGCCCAAAATGGGGCGTGGGGGGGGGGGCGCTATACCCCCCGGCCTGTTTTTGCTCCCAGAAGGCTTCAGGGAGGCCTCCTAGGCCCAAAACAGGGTGTGTGTGTGTGTGTGTGAGGGGTGTGTGCCCCCCTCCCTGTGGCCCGTTTTTTTCTCCCAGGGGAGTGCAGGAGGTCAAGTGCTGCCTGTCACACATCCCTGGCCACACCCACCATGGCCACGCCCACCCAGCCGGTCATTAAGGCAGAGAACCAGTTGTTAAATTATTTGAATCCCACCACTGCAGGGGTGGGTTCTAAATTTTTTACTACCTGTTCTGTGGGCGTGGCTTATTTTGTGGGTGTGGCTTGGAGGTCATGTGACTAGGCGGGCTTGGCTAGCTGGTCAGAGCCATTTCTGGAAGGTCCTCGCACTTACGACCAGTCCTCGCACTTACGACCCGACTCATTTGTTTGCTTTTAACACTGATCAGCTGTAGGACAGCCCCGCGGCAAGAGTTTAAACAGTTTTTTTCCCTCTAGTCATCAGCTGGGACTCAGGAGGCAGCAATAGATTGGGGGTGGGACCAAATAAAAGGTAAGAATAACGTGGTGGGGGTGGGAGGGCGGGGGGGAGAACTAGTTCGGTGACGTCATATCGTCACCGCTACCAGCTCGGCCGAACCGGACCGAACCGGGAGGAACCCACCACTGCACCACTGCCTAATGGGATCCTCTCCCCTGTCCGGCTGACCTCTTTCTGAGCCCTGGCAGAACCTGAACTCGGCTCCTCAGAGACCTTGACAGTTGCTTTAACAGCAGCCAAATAAATTGATGAAATAATGTACATAAGTAACGTGCTCCTGATGACTTGATCGACCCTGTCTGTTCCAATTCAGGGTTTTTGCTCTCTTGTCTGGCCACAGAAGGGTGAAATGAATTGTTTGGGGTTAAAAACTCCCCCCCCCCCAGAGGTTTACTTGTCTGGACCACTTAGATTTTGAAATTAATGTGATGCATTAATATTTCCCCTCTGATTCACCGAGGTGGGTCTTCAGAGCAAACCCACACCAATATTTGCATTTTTGTCATGCACAGACCTGCCAACCTACTTACTGTATATAGTTACTTGATCTTAAAATATACTCGACTTACGACCATTCATTTAGTGACCGTTTGAAGTTGTAACAGCCCTGAAGAAAGTGACTTGTAAACTGTTTTTTCACACTTGCGGCCGTGGCGGCATCCCCATGCTCGAAATTGGCCACTGACTCATATTTACGACGGTGGCGATATGCAGGAGGTCACGCGATCCCCTTTTACGAACTTCTTCTGACAAGCAAAGTCAACGGGGAAGCCAGATTCACTTTACAAGCATGTTATTAACTTAGCAACTGCAGTGATTCACTTAAGAACCGGGGCAGGAAAGGTCTTAAAACGAGGGATATATGACTTAACTGACTCACTTAGAAATAACCAATCTCATTGCACATATGTTGTGCGCGGACAATAAAGATTTGAAATGAAATGAAATAGAAATGTTTGGGCTCTATTGTGGTCATAAGTTGAGAACTACCTGTACTAAGGGTTTTTTTTTACACTTCTCCTTTTTATTTGGCTGTACACTTTGGCACTATTATTATTATTATACACTCTTGTTTTGCAAGTACATTGGGTGCTTTTGTACTAGAGACAAATTCTTTGTGGGTCTAACTACATTTGGCCAAATAAATTAAGAATAAACAATATAAGAAGTATACAAATATAAAAGTATAAGAAATATAAAAGTTTAAGCACAGGTAGTCCTCGAGTTTTGACCACAATGGAGACCAAATTTCCATTGCTAACCGAGACATTTGCTAAGGGGGGTTTGCCCCATTTTATGACCTCTCTTGCCATAGTTGTTAAGTGAGTCACTGCGGTGGTCAAATTAGTGACATGGTTGTTAAGTGAATCTGGCTTCACAAAAGGGGATCACATGAACCCCGTGACACAGCAACCGTCATAATTATGAGTCAGTTGCTAAGCGTACGAATTTTGATCACATGACCTTGGGGACGCTGCAACGGTCGTAAGGGTGAAAAACGGTCATAAGCCAATTTTATTAGGGCCGTTGTAACTTCTAACAGTCACTAAACAAACTGTTGTAAGTCAAGGACTACCCATATAAGATAGTATAGAACTGTGATGGCGAACCTATGGCATGTGTGCCACAGGTGGCACGCATAGCCATATCAGTGGGCACGCCATCTCAGCTCTGGTGCGCATGCGCCCGCCGGCCAGCTGATTTTCAGGCCTTCTGGGCCCACCAGAAGTAGGGAAACAGGCTGTTTCCTGCCTCCGGAGGGCCTCAGAGGGAATGGGGAAGGCTGTTTTCGCCCTCCCCAGATGCATAGAGAGGATCTGGAGCCAGGTGAAAAAGAAAAACGGGCCTACCGGGCCATCGTGTGCCAGGAGCGGGGGGGGGAGGGGGTTGCGCCCGCATGTGCAGGGCGGGGCGCATAGAATTATGGGTGTGGGCACACATGCGTGTGAACCTCCCCCGCCCACCCCCTCCTGGCACGTGATGGCAGAAAGGTTAGCCATCGCTGGTGTAGAAGAATAAGTATAAAATGAAAAGATGTCGAAGAAACGCATAAAAAATAAGAAGTATAAGAATATAAGCATAAAATCCAGCTCCTGTTCTGTCTCCTCGTCCTCCAGGAGGCATGAGGCCTAACACCATTGCGCTGGGCTTCTACGACAACGCCCCCCCACTCGACAACTTGTCCCAACCCACAGCCTTCAGCAGAGACGAGGCAATTTGGCACGACTTCCCTCCCGTCTGGACCTACGGAGGCCCCAAGCAACTGTCTTCCCGGGAGTACGTGGCCATCATCTGCGACGCCATGAAGATGTCGCGCAACGTCCTTCTGGCCCGCTACTTCGACCAGCTCCAGCTGCCTCAGTCCGTCGGGTGGCGAGCCCAACCTCTCATCGACGTCTGGCCCATCAACCTTTTGCGCCCCGACAGCGCCCGCTACGTCGACACCAGCAGCCTCTTCTTGTTACAGATGGCCTGCGTCCTGGCCATGACCCGGTCGTGGCGACGGGCTCGCTTGCGTCTCTTCCTCTGCGTGCAGAGTTGCACCAGCCCCCAGGGCCAGGAGGACAAGCTGCGGCAGCTTCTGAAGGACCTGCGCATCCAGGCGAAAGTCCAGCTGGTGCTGTGGGACAGCGTGGTTGCTCTCCATTGGCACAGCCGCCAGGAAGACTCGGCGGACGGCGCCCTCAACTTCTCCAGCAACATAACGTCGGTTTCCGACGAGTATTTGACTGCGGTTAACCAGCTCATTCTCCAACAGAGTTCCAGTCCTACTGTCCGCTTCCTTTACCTGCCCCGTCCTCCCGCAGACACTAATTTATACCCCAGATATTTGGAACAACTAGAGATCCTGACCCACGGACTCGGCCCCACGCTGCTAGTGCATGGGGTGAGTGCCGTTACTAGCACTCAGCTGTAAAGCAGGGTTGTCTGTTGTCCACTGTGGGCAAGGGTTGGTGGTTGATGGAACACCAGGCGGAGGTGGCCCTCAAGGATCGAGGTGAAGGCGAACTGAATATCAACCAGCAATATTCTTGGCTGAAGTTGGGGTTCCACATCTCCCCAACCTTTTCTTCCCAGGCCGGGTTGCTGCGATGCCTCCCAACACACGATAACCGTGCAGCAGGGCTAAGGCACAGCTCCGTGGTCCTAGCCGAGAGCTTCCATCGAGCGGTGTCTCCTCTGTGCTGCTTTGGCGGACTGCCGAGAGAACGACTTGTCAACAACCAAAGAATATGAAGCTGAGTCTGGGTCCTCCCATCTTGGGAGTTTGGCAGCCAGAAGGTTCCTTGGCGCCAGGTGGCTTTGGAAAACTCTGTGACGGCTGCCTTTCTTTGGACACTTGTAAAGATGGGAACAGAATTAAAGGTTGTTGGATTTAAATCTGTCGTGATGGCAGGGGAGGCGTTTCTTACATCAACAATAAGGATCAGGATTTAAGGCAGGGATCTCCAAACATGGCAACTTTATGACTTGTGGCCTTCAACTCCCAGAATTCCCCAGATTTTAAGACTTGGGCCTTCAACTCCCAGAATGCCCTAGCCAGCCTTTAAGACTTGTGGCCTTCAACTCCCAGAATGCCCCAGCTAATTTTTAAGACTTGTGGCCTTCAACTCCCAGAATGCCCCAGCTAATTTTTAAGACTTGTGTCCTTTAGCTCCCAGAATGCCCCAGCTAACCTTTAAGACTTGTGGCCTTCAACTCCCAGAATTCCCCAGCCAGATTTCAAGACTTGTGGCCTTCAACTCCCAGAATTCCCCAGCCAGATTTTAAGACTTGTGGCCTTCAACTCCCAGAATCCCCGAGCCAGATTTTAAGACTTGTGTCCTTCACTTCCCAGAATGCCCCAGCCAACATGGCTGTCTGAGGAATTCTGGGAATTGAAGTCCACAAATCTTAAAACGTTTCCAAGTTTGGAGACTCCTGATCTAAAGCATCCATCATCAATAGCAGAATTGGGCGTCATTCTTACCAAAGAATGACAAACTCATCCCTTGGCTTTGGCAGGTAACAAATGCTGCTTGTGTAGCAAACGCAATTGGCACCTGTTTGTGTGATGGCTTCCAGTCTCAGCAAATGTGTTGACTTGAGTATTGGATGCATTAATCGGAGCAAGAACAGAGGGAAAAAAAAATAGGTAATCACTCTTGACTCTTCCATTCAGTGGTCTTGCTCCCTCCATATAGTTAACTAGGCTAGTGGGGCAGTTAATGAGTTGTAGAGGCTCATAAATCAAGTGGGATGACCCATTTTAGTTAGTCCTCCAAGAAAAAGAGACTAAAAGGCAGAGTGTCTGGAAAAAAAAGCATTGCCCTACCACAGATGAATTGCAATGACCCAACTGCTCAGCAGTATCTTCCATCGGAATAGAGCTGGAAGGGGCCTTGGAGGTCTTCTAGTCCAGCCCCCTTCTCAAGCAAGAAATCCTATGTCCCATTTCATATCCCGTTTGTTAAATCTCTTTCTTAAAACCTCCAGACATGAAGCACCCGCAACTTCTAGTGGCAAGCTGTTCCACCGGTTAATTGTCCACACTTTTACAAAGTTTCTTCTTAATTCCAGGTTGCTTTTCTTTTTGATTAGTTTCCATCCGTTGCTTCTTGTCCTGCCTTCAGGTGCTTTGGAAAATAAATTGACCCCCCCCTCTTCTTTGTGGCAGCCCCTCAAATACTGGAAGACTGCTATCATGTCCTAGTCCTTCTTTTCTCTAGATTGGCCAAACCCAAATCCTGCAACCGTTCTTCATCTTGATGCCTGTCTATCCAATTGGGAAGAATTTTGGGAGGTGAAGTCCACAAGTCACCAAGGGGCCATCATCCCCCACTTGAGAGAAGAAGGGCATATATTGATGTGATACAGGTAGTCCTCAAATTACAGCAGCTTATTTAGTGACTGTTTGAAGTTTCAACAGCACTGAAAAAAGCGACCTATGCTTGTTTTTCACACTTAACGACCGTTGCGCCATCCCCATGGTATTCAGACGCTGGGCAACTGACCCATATTTATGACGGTTGCAATGTGCCAGGGGGGTCACGTGATTCTCCTTTTGCGACCTTCTGACAAGCAAAGTCAATGGGGAAGCCATGTTCACTTAACAGCCATGGCAAGAAATGTTATAAAAGGGGGAAAACTCACTTAACCACCGTATCCCTTAGCAACAGAAATTTTGGGCTTCAACGAAGCTGCCCGATGCTCCAAAAGGGTGTCCTGCACAGGTGGCCTCGGTGAATCCGTGTGTCAGGGTTCCGACCGATGCCCTAATTAAATCATGAGCCTCGAGCCAAGCTTCAAAATAAATCCATTTTTTTCTTAGGAGCCTCATGTCGGCACAGTCCAAGTGAAGCCAACTGTGACCCCACATCATTTACGGCCCAGTTCTGACCCTGTTTTCCCCCTCCCCCTCAAGGTGTGCCATCAGTCACATTCTCCAACGAAGCAATTTCGCTGGTTGTAGAGATCACTCCCCTCCGTCCAATGTGGGTAACCCCTGGAGACAGCCTTGACAGAGATATGGCTGGAATGTGCTTTTGTTTTGACTGACATGCTGCCTCGGAAGTTCGTTTTCCCATCCCCCTTGCCTATGGCAACTCGAGAGCAGGCCAGGGATGCTTTGTGAGTGGACACCGTGAAGCTGAGTAGGCACACTCGTCTCATTTAGTGTCTGCTCTCACCGCTCCGCTTTTGGGGCATCGGGAGCAGGAGGCTTGGCGACACAGCTGGGGAAGGGAAACTGGGCTACGCAGCTCCACTCAGGCAAGAGAGAAGCCTTTGGGGCGAGTGAGTGCCTGCCACTCATCCTGCCCTGTTGAGTATAGACCACGGCCCGGTAGTGGTCCATGGCCCACAGGTTGGGGACCCCTGTTCTAGAGTCTCAACATCTTTTTTTATAACATGGTGACCAAACCCATATGTGTTCTGTCCCCCACCCATACGCACATACACCAACAGACGTTCAAGAGTTAAAGACCAAACCAGCCGGCAAAATCCTTTTCCTTATGATAACGGAACTTGGCAACAACCTAGTGGCTGCCTGCCAAGAGTTTATTATTTACGAAGAGGAGAGATAACTTCTCCCCACTCCTGGTACATCAAAAGAAACAGCTCAATAATTACGGAGTTAAGTCCAGAGATAATCCAGCAAAGTCTCTAGCCAAAAGTCCGGCAATGCAGAATGGCGTGGAAGCTTTCAGCTTTGTTCGTCACAAGGTTTGACTGGCCACCACGCTCCCTTTTATATCCTGTGGGGTGTGGTCCAGTGACTCAGCCTAATCTCGGGCACGCCTTTTCTTCTGTTGCGCGCGCTTATCTCTGCGACGCTGGCATGGATCCAGCCAAGACTCATTACCCTCATCACTGTCCATCTGTGGCTACGTGGACATGCTTGGCCCTGGCCCTATCTCTTGCCCTTCGGCGGACACCGAAGGCATTGCCAGAGAGGAGGGTCCTGAAGAGGGAGGCCTTGCCAACTCCTCTCCTTCACTCTCGGAGTCCTCTCCTGCTGATGACACAGGCTCAGGTAACGGAGCCACAACAAGATGCCGTATTCCAAGCGTGATCCTACTAAGGCTTTATAAAGCGTTACTAACACTTCACCTGATCTTGATTCTTATCCGTCAGCCTGCCCACCTTTTCTCGTTGGGTTCTCTCTCTTGCGGGTGGATGCCAGCATCATGACCTTGACTCACGTCAAGGAAACGTGGGTGGAGAATGTCCAGGGACTTTAGCAACAGAAGTAATTGGATCTCCTCGGGACAGGTAGCCAAGGTAATGTAAAGACGTCACGGCATCGTCACGCAAACGACATGCAAACTTTGGCAAGTTCTAACCTTGGAGGTTGGCATTTTGGCCCGGAGAAGATGTGGGGAGCAGGGGGTTGGACTAGAAGACCTCCAAGGTGCCTTCCAACTCTGTTATCCTATCCCAGGAGTCTGCAACCTTAAACACTCAAAGAGCCATTTGGACCAATTTCCCACAGAAAAGAAAACACCGGGAGCCACAAAACTCTTCCCATGCCTGACTATTTCTTGAGCGGCCACAAAACTGGCATCTGTAGTTGAATTAAACGTTCTGTTTTCTTCTGAAACTTTTCTTTTCTTGGATTTATCCACGCTTGGCCTACCGGGGGGGTTGAAAAGCTCAATAAATCGCGTGCCGGCGGGTGTCGCACATTGGCGGTTGCGACGCCTATTTTGAGTGACAGGGAGCCGCAGCAGAGGGGTGAAAGAGCCACATGCGGCTCCAGAGGTTGCTGACCCCTGAATTAACCAAATTGCGTTCGGAAATTGTGGGTGACCCAACACTGGAGGCTTTGAAGAAGAGACTGGACAGCCATCTGTCAGAAATAGTATAGGTCTCTTGAGAGAGCAGGGGGTTGGACTAGATGACCTCCAAGGTCCCTTCCCCACTCTTAGTCATACTGTTCAAGAGATGGGAGATATCCGAGACCCACTTCTGGGGGTCAGAAAGAGACTTTCTAGAAACAAGGGTGGCCGTTTTCCATCCACGGCGTCAGGAAGGTGCAGGACCATGTGGCTAAACCCAGCCTTGTCCATGACTCCTTCCAAATTTATTGATTTATTTATTTTATTTGTTTTAATTTGTATACCGCCCTTCTCCAGCAGGACTCAGGGGAGAAATTAATTTCTGGAGAAATTAAGGGGAACCCCCCTCCAGTGGTGGGTTGCTCCCGGTTCGGGAAAACCGGTAGTGGCTGCGGGAGGCTCCACCCTGCGCAGAAGCGCGTGCTCGCAAAGCAAGCAAGCGCACCCGCTACCAATAGCAAACCGGTAGCTCCGGGATTTGAATCCCACTACTGCAGCTTGGCTGTCTCGGGAATTCTGGGAGTTGAAGTCCACAGGTTGTAAAAGGGTCACATTGGCCCACCCCTGCACTACTGGAATCCCCCCCCAACCCCTACATGGTTGCAAAGGGGGAACCGACCACAGGCTAAAGTCTTCATCAATTCTGTTGTCGGGGTTTCGAGTTTCCAGACAGCCGCCCCCCCCGTCACCCCCCTCAGCTGAGACGGGCCACCCAAAGTCTTTGCCAAACCCACAGAAGGCTGCAATTCAACCCTCGCGCAAATCAGCCCAGTTGCTAAAGTAATTTTCTAATGCAACAGATCCCTCGTTGTTTGCTTGATGCTGGGAATCCAGACATGCCTTCCCTCCCACATACGGAAGCACCAATTTCTCTAATGTTGCGGGGGAAAGGAACTAAGAATACGGTTTTGGCCCCAGCGCAAACAATTATGGTTGCTAAATTTTGCAGACGGAATGCTGCGGCTGCCAATTTTTTTTTATTTATTTTTTTTAATTAGATTTATATGCCACCCTTCTCCGGAGACTCAGGGCGGCTTACAATGCGTTAAGCAATAGCCTTCATCCTTTTGTATATTTATACAAAGTCAGCTTATTGCCCCCACAAACTGGGTCCTCATTTCACCTACCTTAGAACGGATGGAAGGCTGAGTCAACCTTGAGCCTGGGGAGATTCGAACTTGCAATAATTGCAGGCAGCTGAATGTTAATAACAGGCTTTTAGTCTGTTGAGCTATCCAGGCTCAATTGCGATGAGGAATACAGGAATATAGGATAACCGAGTTGGAAGGGACTTTGGGGGGCTCTTCTAATCCAGAGGCCCCCAACTTTTCGGGCACCAGGGACGTCTTTTGATGACGTGACCACGGGGATGCCGCAGTGGTCGTAAGGGTGAAAAACAGTCCCAAGTCAACTTTTTTCAGTGCCGTCGTCGCTTCAAATAGTCACTACATGAACTGTCATAAGTCGAGGACTAGCTGGATACAGCCCAGAACAGGAAGCCAGCAAGGTGGCGTGGTTCCACTCCCAATTGTAGTCGTTACGTCGAGGAATACCTGTATATATAACAGAATAAGAGTCGGAAGGGACCTTGGAGGTCTTTTAGTCTGACCCTCTGCACAAGCAGGAGATCCTATACCCGTGATGACGAACCTATGGCAGGCGTGCCAGAAGTGGCACGCAGAGCCCTCTCTGTGGGCACGGGCACCATTGCCAGCTACTTTTCTGGTTTCCGGCATGCATTCTGGTTTTCGCAGGTGCCGGAGCACCGGAAAACGGCCTGAAAACGGCCCAAAAAACAGACAAAAAAATAGGCTGTTTGGGGGGGCGTTTTCTGGGCCACTTTGAGGCCGTTTTTGGGGTGTTTTCAGGCCATGATTCGTGCCAAAAACAGCCTGAAAACAGCCTAAGAGCCGAGGTGGCGCAGTGGTTAGGGTGCAGTACTGCAGCTACTCCAGCTGACTGCTAGTTCAGCAGATCAGCGGATCAAATCTCACCGGCTCAAGGTTGACTCAGCCTTCCATCCTTCCGAGGTGGGTAAAATGAGGACCCAGATTGTTGGGGGACAATATGCTATTCAATATACTGTCTTTGGTGTAAGCCGCCCAGAGTCCTCGGAGAGTGGGTGGCATAGAAATATGAATAATAATAAAAAATAATAATAAATAATAAATAAATGGCCTGAAAAACAGCCTGAAAACGACCAGGAAAATGGCCAAAAACAGCCAGAAAACACGCATGTGCATGTCGGCCAGCTGCTCTTTGGGTTTCCAGGGTGCACACCTGCACGCACCTACACGCATATTCCGGTTTCAGCACTTGGTGCTGAAAAGCTTCACCATCATTGTCCTGTACCATGCCAGATTACCATGCCAATCTCTTCTTTAAAATCTTACAAATCGTTAAATGGCTTAAATATATAATAATAACAGTAACAGAGTTGGAAGGGACCTTGGGGGGTCACCTAGCCCAACCCCCTCCTCACGCAGGAAACTAAGGGATTCGAACCACCGAACTGCCGACTTTTCTGATCGACAAGCTCAGAGAGGAAGAAGCTTGCAGCCCAGACATTCTGCAACTCGTATTCACAGGTATTGGGGGTGGCGGGGAGGAATCATGATGAGAAATTTCCAAATGGAGGGAGGGGTCCGGTTGAGAGGTATCCTGGGAGTGTGGGAGGGGGAGGACGATGGGCCTGTCATTTAAGCTAGCAATTTCTCCCCACCCCCACCCCACCCCGATAAACATTGGAGTGACAGGATTCATTTTCCTATCGAGCCCGGCTCTATTGCTTGTGGGGGGGACGACGATGGGAGGGCAGGGGCTACCAGCATGGCAGAGAAATATATTAGCTGCGGGTTTCGTGCCAAGACGGGCCTTCTGCGTTGGCATTGATGAATGGCTCCCTATTAAAGCCCGGAGGAGCCAATGGCGAAACTCAGTGGCTTCCACGCGGATAGAGAAAATGCCTCCCATTAGGGAGCCAAGGAGGAAAATCTGAGTTTCCATAAGAGGGGAGCATTTTTGAGGCCCACTGGAGCAGAAGTCTCCAACCTTGGCCACTTTAAGCCTGGAGGACTTCAACTCCCAGAATTCCCCAGCCAGAATGGCAGCTCCATGCCGACAGCGCGCTGGAGCTGACATGCGGCCCCTCTACCATGGAGACAGCTGTCAGCACTCCAAACTACATTCGTTCCAGTGCTGACATAAGGAGGAGAAGAGGGGGCAGCTGGCAAGAGGACGCTTGACTTTTCACCTATTTATTTTCCCTGAAGATAATATCCCCTAGGAGATGAGTTGGGAGGGGGGACATTCCTGGGAGCTGAAGTAGTAGATATGGGGAGAGTGATTTGGAAGAGGGCCAATGAGACGCAGAGAATTGGGGAACGGAAAGGGGAGGTTTGGGGTCAGGAAGTCAGTGTTGGCTACGACGTAGTCGGGAACAGATTGTCGTGCTTAATAAATGAAAGATTTCATCAAAGACTATTTGTTTGGAAATGCAATTTATTTGAGACGACACCGAAACCTGACAACGGCTTTGCTGGCTGGGGAATTCTGGGAGTTGAAGTCCTCCAGGCTTCAAGTGGCCAAGGTTGGAGACCCCTGCACTGGTGGACCTCTGTGGGACCCCCAAAGAAAATGTCTCAGTTTGGGAGAAGTGAGGCTGAAGTTGAGTCATGGCAAGTGGCCGCCTGGTCTTTTCGGTTTGGCTTCTTATCCGAGTCGCTTCTTCCTTCCCTCAGCTCCGGCTTGGTTCAGCAGTGAAACCTTTTAACCCAAAAATAGAAAAAGAAAAGGCCGCTCGCCGTGACTCAACTCCCAGGCGGTTCTACTGGGATGACGGAGAACCTTCACTCTGACATGTTTAACCGTGACTAGGGTTTTTTTTGTGACTAATCCTAGCCTGTTCCATTAGTGGAAAGATCAAAGGATGGAGAGAATCCAATAAATCCCTCTTTTGCTCCAGGCCTGCTGCTCTACAGATAATCTGTTTCTGTTCTTTCTTTCTTTCTTTCTTTCTTTCTTTCTTTCTTTCTTTCTTTC